TTTTTTTTTTTTTTTGTTTTCACGAAATCTGTGCTGATTAAATTTCGTTCTTGGATTGACTGACCGGATATCAGTTGGCAAATACGGTCACACCGTGCTAGGTGTGTCAGGGCCTTATGTGAATTACATTCTTTTTAAAGTCGTGTGAGAGGTAAGGAGGTAAGTGTTTTTTTTTAAATGGGACATGTGTCCCATTTTTATTGGGTAATGAATTTCATTTATCATATTATAAATTAAATTATCATTCATATTTTGTATCAAAAAATAAAAATAAAAATACCAAAATTCATAATTTTTCATTCTCTACAAATAGAGACCACATTTGATATTTTTTGAAACATAATTAATTTATCATTTTTGACAATTAATTTATCTTATTGGAAGATTATGATGCAAATCTATAATTAGATGAATATGTTACATAGTAAGATGAACATGTTATATAATAAGATGAACATGTCATAGAATAAGATGAAAATGTTACATTTTCACAGATGAAATTTAGATGAACATATTCTAAAATAAGATGGACATGTTACATAATAAAATGAACATGTTATAGAATAAAATGAACATGTAACATCATAAAATGAACATGTTATAGAATAAGCTGAAAAATGAACATGTTATAGAATAAGATGAACATGTTACATAATAAAATGAACATGTTATAGAATAAGATAAACATGTTACATACATAATAAAATAAACATGTTATAAAATAAGATGAATATGTATTTTTTCAATCTGCAATCTGTAACATGTTCATCTTATTTGAAAACATATTCATCTTATTATGTAACATGTTCATTATATGTCAGTATAATAAAATAATTACAAAAAAACAAAAAATTAGTTGTGTTAAAAAAACCTATCAATTGTGGTCTATATTTATAGATAATGAAAAATTATGAATTTTGGTATTTTTATTTTATTTTTTTTAATATAAATAATTAATTATATTTTAATTTATGTAATATGTCTCATTTTTCAATTAAAAAAAGAAAAATAAGAATGTGCACTACACTCTCTTAATTTTCTAGTTTTGGGGGGTGAGGGGCGCGTGCAAAATGTGCCCTGACACACCTGGCTAGGTGTGGCAGTGCACACTGATATCAGTTGGCTACCACATCTAAATTTTTCAAGTCACGGTTCGATAGATCAGATTATTTAGTTGAATTGGCATATTTTCAATAAAAAAAAAAAAATGCCAAAATTATAATTATAATTATAATGAACAGAGTATTAAAGGTTAAATAAAAATTTAATCATTCCACAAGACAATGGTTTTCAGCCGTATCATTTGTTGGATCTTTATGGGGCAGGTTGGACCTGAATAATTTCTTAAATGTATGTTATGATATAGCATTATGTTTGAATATAAAGTTAAGAAATGTAGCATAACTGCGATCTGTTTAACAAATATCACGTTTATAAATATGTTACGAAATAGCATAACATAATTGAACTTGCTTAACAAATATCATGTTTAACGTATGAATGTCTATTATCATATCTGTCCATATGGATAATTCAAAGGAGTACATTCATTCTCGTAAGACCATCCCCAACCCGTCGCTACACTTCAACTCTATTGCTAGAGTGGAGAATTTTTTTCCTCCAACCCATCGCCACATCTCGACGCTATTCTTCAAATATGAATAGTGTTGCGCCAGACCCGTCGCTACAATTCAACTCTATCGCTAGAGTGGAGAAATTTTTTGAAGTTTTTTCCTCCAACTCATAGCCACATCTTGACGCTATTCTGCATATATGAATAGTGTTACGCAATTTCTGGCGCGACACTGTAGCTATACGCTACATTTTTTTTTTTTTTTT